ACATTATGAATTTCTAGCAATTCTTCCATCTCAAAGTCATATCTGAAAGGGTTACGTCTCACAGTGTGAGATGTAAAAGTAGATATTTGTTCAAATTTGGTTTTGGCTGACTTTAACAGCACGTTCTTGTTCTAAGTTAACTATAACTGGAAACTGAACTTTTGATTTTATTTTAATTTTCCTGGTTTTAGATATAACAAGGATAGTTCCAAATTACAGAATTTTTATATTCAGACTTTTAAAAAATGGCCTACAGCTTTGGTTCTGACCATTGCAGCCACAGTCCTACAGAATAACAACAACAACATTGAAGTAGTGTTGCATCATATTGGCTTTTTGTGAAGCTTTTAAAAACCTTTTTAATAAACACGAGGTAGTAGAGCAAACCAGTAGCTTCAAGTATTCTTTCTGTCAGAATACAAAAAGGTTTCATTTTCATATATAGCTTGCTTTGAGTGAGTTCTCTTAAACTATTTAAAAAAAAATTGTGAAAAACCTTCTTTCACCACCATGTAGCATTGGAATGGAATGGGTAAGAGATGAGTATAGGTTTGCTGTTATGGTACTGTACAGAGAGAAACTACTGCTGACAGAGCAAAAACTTAGTGTGCATGTATTCGTGTATTAATACTATTTTTTAAGATTTTCCATTTTTCAATGGATCTTCTGAATACATGTTGTAATAAAGAAACACATTTTATTCTTTAAAATAAACTACAGGTATGGCATTTCAGTGTGCAGATATTTCTTAAGTAAGCTTGAGGGGTTTTTTCCCCCTTCCTTTATGTTTGTTCTTTCAGCCCCTTCAGGGCTCAAGAGTCATAACCAGCTTAAGTGACATAAATCCAAGCAGCTCACAGTCTATCTAGCTTTCAGTATTTTCCAAGTTGAAAGTGCTGAAGAGATATAGCTGGACTTTGTAAATCTGATGCACTGCCTATTTTTGTCACTTTTATTATTATTTAATTCAGTCTGTTTCTGTGTGTCCATACCTTTCCTATGTTCCTGTAAAGCTGACTTACTCTCATATTAGCAGGTGTTCAGAGGAGTTTATTCTCTGCACAACCACATTCACTGGCAGAAGCAAAATGTAACACATTCATTGTGTCACATAGTGTAGACTTTAATGGTAAGGATTCTATTCATATGAGCTTTGCTTTTATAAAAGGAAGCTATTTGTCAACCCTAAAATTAAAGCTACCTTTTTACATAGTGAGGAAGAAACTGTAGTTCTCCAAGATGTTATTGAAATTTTATGGGAACATCACATAGGATGACAGTTTCTAAATTCTGCTTTTCAGAGATAGCCAGCAGCTGTACCACCTTTGTGGGATAACTATTTCTTGATCTTTATACCAGTCAGAAAGTAAAACTGGAGTGAGAACATCTGCTTCCCTCAATTCATTAAGAGACATTGAAATCTAAGAAATGTTGACTCTTTCCAACTTTTGACCAATAGTCTGGAGCTGCAAAAACCTGTTCTGTAAACTAGCTTTCTGAACCATTTGTTTTTCCTCAAATGTTTAAAATATAGGATGCTAAAATCTTGGAAATGAGTGTCATCTTCCCCTGTCCAACAACATCACCCCTCTGGTGGTCAGAACCCATGAAGAAATGCAGCAATGAAAATGGTCCTAAAGTCTGTTGCTGTTAATATTTGTTTCACTCTAAGCTATTCTCCCTCAGTCTGCTTATCTAATCAAACTTTATTAAGAGAAGAAACTTTTCTCCTCGAGTCATACTCGAGCACACTTTTGTGAATGTAATACTAGTCAATGGTGAACTTCAAAATGCGTTCATAGTTGCATTTGTCAGCTGATTAAAAGGACTGAAGTTTCTGCCTAGACTAAGAAATCTAAAGAAGCTTGATATTTCACACCAAAAGTTTTAATGAGATTATTTTTAATGGTTTTGGTTTGTTTTTTAAACTTTTTAACTTCAAGTTAGAACAGACTCAATCCTTTCAAATTTTAGGATTAAATGGATTTGGTGACCTCAGTTTGATCTGTATTATTCAGGTTATTAAAAGGACTATTGGATTTTTTTTTTTGTGCTCTTTTCTTTCTGTTTTTGATTCTCTTTGTACGTACTTTATTTCTGACTCTAAGACTTGGTAGCACTTTTCTAACCAAGTTTTCACCTCTTGTGGCTTGTAGACAGTTTTTGATGCAAAAAGAAAGCATGTCAAGAGTGATACAGCTGTTTGTATGGTGGGGGTTTTTCCCCCTATTCTCCTTAAAAAGAATACAAGTAACATTTAAAAAAAAAAAAAAACAAACTAAGAAACTTATAGCTAGATTTATTATGCTAGAAATGGCTTCTCTGGACACCAGGGTGCATGTGAGTTTTACCTTTAGTTTGAAAGATTTTGAGGTTTAATAGTATTCTGAGGTCCCTTACAAGTATATATGTTGTGTGTTTCGACCACCTACCAAGAAACCAAATACATATTTTGGCATTTTACTTCTACTACTTTGGAAAGCAAAAATCTATTGTCCTTATGTCCTAAGGTGCTGGGGTTTTTTTTGTTAGTTTGTTTGGTTTTGCGGGGGGGGGGCTGTAGAGGGGTGTTGCTTGTTTATTTTTCTTTCCTATTTTCCAGAAGAAATCAAAGAAAGCAGCACTAAAAAGCCCTTCTCTCTCTCCCTCTGCCTTCTCCATATGTAATTGTATGCAATTATTTCTACATATCTGCATTTGAACAGTGTAAACTTTATACCCTAATCTTGTATTTTGCTTACTTGTCTTTTAGTAATCTTAATCAGTTTTCTCATTTAAGCTATTTTGATTCTGCCATGTTCTCTTCTTTGTATTATGTTTTTATTTTCTTCTAAGTTCTAGTATATTTGGGTCACTGCTAAAACAACATTCCTTAAATGTTTATCCTTTCACCTATTCTAGATTTTCTCTGAGTTTCTCAATTTCTATTTTTACCTGTTCTCCTTCTGTCTTATACATTACAGATCTTTTTGTGTAGTATTAAAAAAAAGAAAGTACTGAATTCTGAGGTGATCCTGTGCTGTCTTATCTTCTACGTCACCTTCACAGATCACAGAATCAACTAGCTTGGAAAAGATCTCTGAGATCATTGAGTCCAACCTCTGAATTATCACCACCTTGTCAACTAGACCATGGCACTAAGTGGTACATCCACTCTTTTCTTAAACACTTCCAGGGACAGTGGCTCCACCTCCCTCCTGTTGGCCCATTCCAATGACCAACAGCTCTTTTTGTGGAGAACTTTTTCTTAATGTCCAGCCGAAGGCTCTCACAGTGCAACTTAAGAATGTTTTCTCTTGTCCTGTCACTAGTTGCCTGGGAGAAGAGTCCAACACCCACTTGGCTAAAACCTCCTTTCATGTATTTGTAGATTAGGTCTCCCTTAAACCTCCTCCTCTCCAGGCTAAACAACCCCATCTCCCTTAGCCACTCCTCATAGGATTTGTGTTCTTCAGCATGCCTCACTGCCCTTCTCTGGACCTGCTCCAGCACCTCAATATCCTTCCTAAACTGAGGGGCCCAGAAATGGACACAGCACTTGAGGTACAGCCTCATCAGTGCCAAGCACAGAGGAAGAATCACTTCCCTGGTCCTGCTGAATTAAAATGTTGTCTACTTGTACAAAATTGACTTTAAATACCATAATGAACCTATAAAACTTTCCAGGAAATTCTTTCTCTTGTAACATTGACAAAGAAATTATCTTTATAGATAGATATCTTTAGAGACAGATAACAGTCTTTAACTTTGCATTCATTCAATATCAAAATTTGAGATTTTTTTAACTTGGCTTTCCTTCTTATGTCTTGATAGCTGGTGAGAAGCCTTTAAATGTGTGTGTGTGATCAGTCACTCATCATCACCAGAGCCCAGCAACACAGCTCATCCTTATGGACATTTGAAATAACGCCAGTCTTAGCAAGGAGATTGCTTGCAAGAATTGCCAACAAATTAGATGAATTTTTAGAGTGGATATGAAGTCTGGTTAAACAAACATTTCATTTATTTTAGCTGCTGATTGATTGATTCCAAACAAAAAGGCTTTACCATCTGGTCCTTAGACAATCAAGCAGAATTACACATTCCTTTTTTTTAAATTTGATTTAAAAATATTTATATAATTTACTAGGTGTTTATGTATATAAACACACCAATATATATAAATTACCCGTCTTACTTTCCCTGTGCATAAAATTATTCATATTTAATGCACATCACTTTATAATAATCATATATTTCAAAGAAAATATGGGCATTGCTAGAAAAGCTTCTTTCTACAATGCTTATTATTATGCCTGAGCTATTCATCATAACACTATTTGACAAGCAGTTTTATGACTTGACCTAGAAAGCACTATTCAAGGAACAATTGAAAGAAAACCCTCTGGTAAATCAATTAAATTTATTCCAGTAAATATTGTGAAATTTCAGACCTTACTGGAACAGACTATTAGTTATGAGGGTGTGTACTAAGGTAATTGCACAGCTGTGTAGAGACAGGTATTATAGGTAGTTTTACAGTTTTGAAACTCAATATTATTCTGAGTGGTAATAAAACATGAAAAGTTCAAAAATTTGCTGGGAGAAAACTCATAAGCTTTTTCTCTCGAAAGAAAGCTAAAGTGTGCTGTATCAATAGAAATGTCTCCATTTATAATGTAAAACTTAAACCAGGGTATAAAAAAAGTCCTGAACCTAAGTACTTTCAAAATTGTTTAAATATACTCTTGAAACAGTTTGGTTGTTCCTCCCTCCCCGAGTTGTCAGAATTCTCTTCCTATTCTGGCTTTCTCTCACGTGTCAAAAAATGAAATTATATGCCTTAAGCTTTTAATCATCCATTTTGGAAAGATGTTTTGTTTTTACTGAACATCAGTGCCATGACTTTAATCTCAAAGGTATAACTCTTGCTACATAAATAGAGTCAATTTATTGTCATTATGGATTTTTTTTTCCCCAGGATATGAAAATTCTTATTGCTGTGTTTTATTTCATTCCAGCTATTTATGAACTCTCTTGTGAAGCTTACAAACACTTGGGCAAAACTTCAAATTACTACTGGATAGATCCAGATGGAAGTGGGGCACTGGGACCTTTGAAAGTTTACTGCAACATGACAGGTAACTGCATTGTATTTGCTAATTCAGTTGTTGGGGGAGCTTGTGCGTGGTTTTTGGTTTGGTTTAGTTTTAATGGAGCTGTGAGAAAGAATCTATTCAAAATTCATATTTCTTGTAAAAAAAAAAAAAATTGCTGAGAGCTTTCCATGAGAGGGATCATCAAATCTGTAGTCATCATTCAGTATGCTCTTAGCAAGGTAGTAGTTAATCCATTTCATAAGGTTTTTGAATTGCAGCTATTAGTCTTAATAGGTCTTTGTATCCTCAGTGGTGTATCATTTAAAAAAAAAATAGATAGATATGGTTATTTATGACAACTGTTTTATATCAATATATTTGAGTTTAGTAATGTCTGCGGTTCAAGGGATACTGTACAAGGCAACTTACCACAAGAGGCAAGGAATAGAAATTAATTACAAAAGAAACAAAACATTTGAGTTTTCTTTATTGTCTGTATTTTAAACTAGATACATCCTTCTAACACCAGTAAAACTCTGGAGATCATATATAGAATTACATTAACTTATTTTGATTTTGTTGTGTGTACTGTTTTCTACTTTTAACACTAACTTTACATTCTCACAGAAAGTATCCTGTCTCAGTCATCTGCATTACCATGCTAAGGCAGGAAAATAAGACAATTAAAAAAAAAAAGGGGGGGGGGCAATTTTCTGCTGTGGTAGTATATTATTTCTTTGTTCTGTTAATGCATGACAGTAGTCTCAGCACTTCTTCTGATATAAAATATTGGGTAGCTGATACAACAGATATGTCCTCTGGCTTTCCCCAAATGTCTGTATAACAAGTTTAAATTTCATTCTTTTGCACTGGAAATGTGGCATATGAAGCCTTCAGATTTCAGCATCAGCAACATGAAGGTGAAGACACTATCATAAGTTAAAAGTGTCTCTGGCTTTTTAGAGATTAAAATTGCTGAAGCTCCCACAACTCTTCTGGGGGGCAGAAACCTGGCCTGTGGGGTGGGTTTTATCCCACTTGGATGGGAGAGATGGGCAGGAATGCATGGCACATGCAGCAGACCCCAGATCAACTGCTTATAGGTACACAACCAGCTGGAGACCAGGAGGTAATACCAGTGTTTCATGCTGCCATTAATGTATGTGTTTGTATAATAAATGCATACCTTAAAACCAGCTTGATCTAAGCTCTGGAAGTGCTGTCAATCCTATTTGGACTGGACAGACAGTCCAACCTGTCAAATCTGTTCTGAGACACAGGTGTAAAGGCAGTCTTTTAGATCCTGAGCCATTTAGAGCTTTTTAAATCATAAGTACCACTATAGCAGTGTCGGGGACAGAAAAGTACATCCATCCCATGCTACAGGATTGCTCATTCATGATAAATATAAATATGTAACAGAAGGTCCCAGTAGCTTGTTCAACACTGGGAAATAAAAAAGAGATAACTAAAAGTAATAGTTTCATTTTACTAACGTTTCTCATCTACAAAAATTTCCAAAGTACATAAATGTGACCTTTTCCTAAGCAGTGCAAGATCATGAACATTAGGATACATGATGTAGTGCTCTTTCCCTTCATTTGGATATGACACATACTGTGGAAAAATGTAGTTTTCTGTTTCAAATGAATTACTCTAATCAGCAACTCTTTGCTACAAGAAAAAGGCATTTTGCACTAATAGCCATGTAACTGTTGCAATTTTAAAACTGTTTTAAACTATTTCTTCATTACAATGCAAATGACCGCAATAAATATGTGAAAATTGATTTAAAGTAATTTTAATCTCTACTTCTGGAACTGGTAGTTGTTCTCAGATAGCTTAATAAAGCTCATCACCTGTGTACATACTATGTAGTGACTATACATTGCAACTGCTATAACTTTAAATTTCTTTTAATTAGGGGTCATCTGAGGCACTGAAGATGGGACAATAGAGAACTACATTTTTAAAAGAAATTTCACAACACCTTAAATCTTTTTCTGAATCTATATAGAGTATTATCAGCAATGATATGATATGTGTACTAGGGAAAGGACAGAATGAGGTTACTTGAGGACTTGACTTTTCTTCATCAATAACACAATTCTGTAGAACTCTGTAGCAATGATACATATCTTGTCATATAACAAAAAGCACTATAACATGTTAGATTAGAAGAAGAATTCACAAATAATTTTAGTATCAAACTTTTGCAAGTTTATGGTATTACTAGCACTATATTTGAAAAAGAAAAACTAGATTAGTTACAATTATTTCTTTTTTTCATGAATGTGAAACTAAGTAACATACAGATTTAGCTATACTGAATAGTATGTGCAGTATACTAAATGAAAAAAAATAAATATTTCTTCATATAATAGGGTACTGAGATTTTATCTTAATAGAGACATCCTTAACTGTATTTTCCTCTCTAGCCTGTGGCAAATCTAAATGTTCCTATTCTGCCACTATTTTAAACAAACATCTTTGTTTTAAGTTACTACTCAAGATGCTCATAGACATTTTAAATATCCCCTCTTTCATTTAGGTGAAACTAGCGAGTAAGAACAACTCAGTGACTTAAAAATAATGTAAAATTTAACTTGTTTCATTCCTAGACAAAACGAGTCCACAAGGTCAGGGTAACTTATGAAGTTAGTATTAGTCTTTGCAAAACAAGATGGTTTAACAGTTATATACTACTTCACTCTCATTGAAGTATAGTTTCACTGATACAAAATGCTGGAGAGTAAGCTACACTCTCTCGACTGTAAACCTTCTTGTGGTAAGTGCAATATCCCAAAAAGCCACTGAAATTATATACTGAGAAATTATCTATTTAGCCCTTTACTAGATTGTAGCTCAAATACTGAATCACAGATTTCATTATTTCATCGTTATATCAGTATCTCACCTACAGAGTTTCTAGTCAGAAAGTTTTAGCATAGCCAAATGTGCCAAAAAAAAAGAAAAAAAAAATTATGGTGCAGTAGACATCTGTCTAGGCATATTTCTGGGCATAATCCATATTCAACTTTAGTGTGTCTTAATTTAGTAAACTGTCGAGCTTCATGATGAGACCTGCCCTTCACAGATGTTGCTGCAGTAAACCCCCTCCAATTCTCATCCTTGTCTTCTCCAAATAAACTTTGTACTCAGTACTGTGTTCTGATATTGAAGAGGAACCAAAAACTTACATTTTATATCCTCTTGTGTAATGAAGATGTCTGAGATACCAAAATCAAACTATCTAGTCTGATGGAGTAAAGCAGCTTTTCAAAATCTGAGGGCTGATGTTCAGCAGTTTCCCAAAGACTTATCTATAGGAACTATATAGACATCACAAAGGTGTTTTGGGTTTTCTTATTGCTTTTTTGCTTTTTTTTAATAAAAGGAATAATAATAATAAAAATAGGAAATATTTAGAAGTCAAAAGTTGGAACTTTTCAAATTAATATACTTATGGAAAAAATATTCTTTGAAGTTGTGATGTGGTATAATTTTTAACCATTAGACTGCTTTTCAGTTTAGCCTTTTGTGACTAAATTCAACAGAGAATTTTTCCAAAGCTCTGCCATCTTAAGGCTAAGATCTTACCCTCCTTCAGAGGCCGGTCCACAGTGCAAAGTCAGACTCAGATTCAAGCAGGTTATTCCAAAGTTGGAGGGTTCCTATCTCAACATGCATTGGTTAGAAACTGTAAACTTTCAGTATATTACAGCTTCACCACTTGCTCTATGTGATATTTCTGAATCTCTAAGCCTGATTCAGTTCCCTCTGGCTGATTTAGCTTCAGTCTATTGAGAAAGACACAAGAAATAAGTTGATATTACTCCCAATTTTTTCTGTTTCTCTTTTTCTCTCTGTTTGCTACACGGAGGATGGGGAAAAGGTGTCAAACCAGCAAGTTTTTTCAGATCTTGTGCATTTGTCCTGCAAGAATTTTCAGAGTCGAGAGTGAGGAATAAGCAGAGGGATCATAAGGACTTAGTTATTTATCCTAATGGCTGTATGGGATGTCAGTGCAAAAGGCAGATCAGCACTCCTGTAGTTGCTTGAGGCTTTATGCTGAGTATAGGGAAATATTAGCCTGCTGTTTCTTCTGCTTCATCATTTGGAGTACTGATGCAAAGTAGAACTGAAAGGTTTCATATTCTATTTTACCAGAAGGTATGTCAGTTAATTTTTTGTATTGGTCCTGAAGTCTTTATGCCTCTGTGATGTAGCTTTTATCTCATTTCAGGATCCAAATAGCTACAAGCATAATGGCTCCATTTGAGTGGTACTTACCCTATCCCCTTTCTAGTACAATTCTTTTGCCTAAAGCTGCTCATCTTCAAACAGTTTGAGAAATCATTATGCATATTCATAGGCTGTCTCATTAAGGTCAAGTGTATGAGGTGTCTTTCTCCCCACTCTCCTCTTTCCTCTCTGCTCTCTCTTCATTTTTTTTAACAGAAATGGAACATGTAACAATTACTGCGATGACTTTGAACGTAGACATTAAACAACCATAACTGTTGTATCTGTCTTCTCTCAGTAAATAGTCGGTCACAGGAGTGCTTTGTACTATGACATATGTAGAAACATATGGCATGAATATAAATGTGCCATTCATCACTATATACTGATGAAAAATACTCTAGCAGTAGCAAATGTTTAATTCTGTTGCACATATCTGTATGATTAGTTTTTTTCAAATGAGACCTCTTGCCTGAGACCTGATTTTCTGAACTTCAAAGGTACCAAAACTTTAATATTATACTTCACACATATATAGGAATACATGTGAAACAAACTTTTTAGCAATTTAATTCAATAAATAAAAGTAAAGCTCTTTTTCCATATAGATTCTCTAGTTTGATGGAGGAAGAACCTAATGTTCTTTAGTTGTTAACTAAAATAGCATGAATTTATACACATTTAAAGGCAATAAGCATTATTTTGTCATTGGGCAATTCTAAGTTATTGAATGAAAATAAAAGTATATAAACCTCACCTAGTCTATTCTCAATTCAGAAAGCTTTCAATACAAATAT